AGTACACTTCAAGGGAATTTGAAGAGTACTGTTCGAACCATGGGATCAGACATGAAAAGACAGATCCTGGAACCCCACAACACAATGGCGTAGCCGAAAAGATGAACCGCACCATTGTGGAGAAGGTGAGAAGCATGCTCAGAATGGCTAAACTGCCTAAGTTATTCTGGGGTGAAGCAGTTCAAACAGCATGTTACCTGATCAATATGAGTCCATCAGTTCCGTTGGCGTTTGACATCCCAGAGAGAGTTTGGACCAACAAGGAGGTGTCCTACTCGCATGTGAAGGTGTTCAGTTGCAAAGCTTTTGCACATGTACCAAAGGAGTAGAGAACAAAACTGGATGATAAATTTGTTCCTTGCATATTCATTGGATATGGAGATGAATAAAATTCGGATACAGATTGTGGGATCCCGTAAAGAAGAAGGTCATCAGAAGCAGAGATGTAGTCTTCCGAGAAAATGAAGTTGGAACTGCTGATGATATGTCAGAGAAGGCCAAGAATGGTATTATTCCTAACCTTGTTACTATTCCTTTACTTCTAACAGGGGGAGCAACCTGGTGAGGTTATTGAGCAGGGGGAACAACTTGATGATGATGTCGATCAAGTGAATCACCCCACTCTGGGAGAAGAACAACCTCAACCTCTGAAGAGATCAGAAAGGCCAAGGGTAGAGTCATGCAGGTACCCTTCCACGGAGTATGTCCTCATCAGTGATGAGGGGGAGCCAAAAAGTCTTAAAAAGGTGATGTCCCATCCAGAAAAGAACCAGTGGATGAAAGCCATGCAAGAGGACATGGAATCTTTGCAGAAAAATGGCACGTTCAAGCTGGTTGAACTTCCAAAGGGTAAAAGACCACTCAAATGTAAGTGGGTCTTTAAACTCAAGAAAGATGGAAATGGCAAGCTGGTCAGATACAAAGCTCGATTGGTGATAAAAGGCTTCGAGCAGAACAAAGGTGTTGATTTTGACGAAATTTTCTCACCTGTTGTCAAAATGACTTCTATTCGAACAATCTTGAGCTTAGCAGCTAGCCTAGATTTTGAAGTGGAGCAGTTGGACGTGAAGAAATGCATTTCTTCACGGAGATTTGGAAGAGGAGATCTATATGGAGCAGCCAGAAGGATTTGAAGTAGCTGAAAGGAAATACATGGTGTGCAAACTGAATAAGAGTATTTATGGGTTGAAGCAGGCACCAAGGCAGTGGTACAAGAAGTTTGACTCATTCATGAAAAGTCAAACTTACACAAAGACATATTCTGATCCATGCGTATACTTCAAAAGATTTTCTGAAAATAACTTTATTATATTGTTGTTGTATGTGGATGACATGTTAATTGTAGGAAAAGACAAGGGGCTCATCGCAAAGTTGAAGGGAGATTTGTCCAAGTCATTTGATACGAAGGACTTGGGCCCAGCACAACAAATTTTGGGTATGGAGATAGTTCGAGAGCGAACAAGCAGAAAGTTGTGTCTGTCTCTGGAAAAGTACATTGAACGTGTAATGGAACGCTTCAATATGAAGAATACTAAGCCAGTAAGCACACCTCTTGCTAGTCATCTAAAGTTGAGCAAGAAGATGTGTCCTACAAGTGTGGAGGAGAAAGGGAACATGGCTAAAGTTCCTTATTCTTCAGCAGTCGGAAGCTTGATGTATGCAATGGTATGCACCAGACCTGATATTGCTCATGCAGTTGGTGTTGTTAGCAGATTCCTTGAAAATCCTGGAAAGAAACATTGGGAAGCAGTCAAGTGGATACTCAGGTACCTGAGAGGTACCACAGGAGATTGTTTGTGCTTTGGAGGATCTGAACCAATCTTGAAGGGCTATACAGATGCTGATATGGCAGGTGACATTGATAATAGAAAATCCACTACTGGATATTTGTTTACATTTTCAGGGGGAGCTATATCATGGCAGTCAAGGTTGCAGAACTGTGTCGCACTCTCTACAACTGAAGCGGAGTATATTGCCGCTACTGAAGCTGGCAAGGAGATGATATGGTTGAAACGGTTCCTTCAAGAGCTTGGCTTGCATCAGAAGAAGTATGTCGTCTATTGTGACAGTCAAAGTGCAATAGACCTTAGCAAGAACTCCATGTACCATGCAAGGACCAAACACATCGACTTGAGATATCACTGGATTCGAGAAATGGTAGAGAATGAATCTCTAAAAGTCTTGAAGATTTCTACAAGTGAGAATCCCGCAGATATGCTGACCAAGGTGGTACCAAGAGACAAGTTCGAATTGTGCAAAGAACTTGTCGGCATGAACTCTATATGAAAAACTTGAGTTACCTCCTTCAGGTGCATGGGACTGGAGGGGAGATTTGATGGGTTCATCCCATGTGTAAGGAAGACATCTTCCTTTTAGCTTTGAATTGTCAAGCCAGCTAAAGGAATAGTAAGGAAGATTTTATGGCAAATATTTCTTTGGTTTCACATTGAATATTTGACTCTTGCCAAACTCATGATATCATTGATGACATTAATGAAGCAATCCTAAACACTATAAATAGGTGTCTTGCTCTCATTGTAATACACACCAACAAAGAGAGAAAGAAAGAGTGAGGTTTCACAGACAAGGTATAAAAAAATAGTCTGTGAGAAAAATAGAGAATGAGCGATATTGTAGTAAGGTGAGAATATCAAAAGAGGGTTATTTCTTTTGAGTATTGTAGTGGTCTTTGGAGTATTTTACTCGGACCTACAAAGTGTAAAATTCCTTGCTATATTGATATCAGTTGCTCCTCTCAGGGCCGTGGTTTTTCCCTTATTCAAAAGGATTTTCCACGTAAAAATTTTGGTGTCGTTGTCACTCTTTTATTCTTGTTAATTACCGTATCTTGGTGCTACGTTATTATTCCGCTTTTATTATTGTGAATATTATTTTTGTAGGGAGTTTATTCCCAACAATCTAGGTATTATAGGGTATCATCTTTTACAGTTAGCTATGAATATTAGGGAGCTAATTGGCCATGAAATTGGATATCATATCCAGGGGCGAAGCTACGTTCCTCCAAGGGTGGTCAACTGACCACCCTTCGCCGGAAAATTATACTCCGTATAAGTTAAAATATTACTTGTTATTGATTAAAAATAGACTTTGAACACCCTTACATAGCCCACTGGCAAAGGTTTGAACACCCTTGTTGAATTTCCTTGTTTCGTCACTGATCATATCATACTGCTTTTTGAAAAGTGGAGTTTACTTTGTATGAGAATTCTCTAACTGAATCTCCTCCCTCCACAACTTTGTATTTTTTGCCTTAAAATGACTAATAGCATTACTCTATGATTCGTGCAGGCTGCACCAGATGCAGTCTTTAGCACTGCTGTGACGTCCTTGAAGCCTGAGGATGCATATGATCCAAATCGTGTAAAATGTGTGGTTGACAATCTTGGTTATGCAATATATTTTTCGCGAGGGCTTATCCCTTATAACAAGTTAGTCCCTTTTTCTCTTAAAAAGCCTGTTGCAATGGCTGGTTATATCTTCCGTTATAGAACCTAATCAGCTTTTCCATACATTCAGGTCAGGCAAGGTTAATCCTCAGTTTCCTTACTTGCTGCACCTCGGGATCCAGGTATCTAGTAGTACAATTTTAGTTCACCTATCAGCTAGCTTTTCCACGTAACTTTATTTGATCGAATGATACAGTGTCTCTTATTTCATTCTAGAGCTATGATACAAAGTTCCTGAAGATATATCCAGAACTGACACCAACACCATTGCAACTAGAAGAAGATCTTGAACAGCTGAAGGTCCTTGAGAATGGATACAAAATGAAGGTAACATTCTCTCCTCAGTTTGCACATCCCTATGTTGAGTATCTGTTTAAATGACTGGGGAAATATATTTCTAGATGAATCTATAGTTAACCAAACAAAACAAAGGAAGAAAGATTGTTAGAAAGGTTAATAAGAATTTCAAATATGCGGCAAATGTTGCAGCCTTTTGTCTACTAATTTATTCTGTACATTCTGTCGGTTTGCTTTTCCTCTTGTGATTCTTCTTTGTCAGAAAGTTGTTATGTAACTGCAATACTGCATGGATCTTTTTTTCTTCTTTCTGCAGGTCATAAAAGTTGACCATGAGACTCATGGCGTTGACACCCCGGAAGATGTAGAGAAGATAGAGCGGTTCATGCGTGAGAGAAACTTGGCTTAGAGCAAAGAGAGTTATTTTTTGATAACTTATGCGACTCCTAGAGCTATAAAGGTGGAGTTCTTTGGTTTCCATTTGCACTTTGAATTAACACGTCATTTGTCTTTCAGAGTTATTTTTGTGAAGAAAAAGAAATAGGAACTTACTGTATCAACAACAACAACATACCCAATGTAATCCCACAAGTGCAATCTAGGGAGGGTAGAGGGTAGAGGGTATGCAGCCTTACCTTGTGAAGGTAGAGAGGCTGTATGTATCAATCCTGCAAATAGTTCATATTTAGTTTTCTATGATGTGTATGTTTCACTTAGGTATTCATTGCTGTGGTAAGGTTGTGTATTCTTATTCTTTAATTGGTTGAAGTCTAGATTTTGTCGACAAGCCCTCTCTGTCTATGACCATAGTTGAGGTCGAGGGCTGTTCCTGAATGCTATTTAGAGATAAAACTTGTCGGGATTGTTTATTGTTGTATCTTCCATGAGTTTGAACAATATTTTCTGCTTTGTTTAGTCATTGGAAATATTTGAATGCATTTGAGCTTATTTTTGCGTTGTGTGCTGTAATATTATGCAAATAAAAGTGATATAAGGCAGGCAACTTTTTGGTATACTAGTTTTTCTGTTGACTCTAAAATAAATCTCCAAAATAAGACCGTTTGTAATGGCTTGTCCCTGCCTTTGAACGAACTGAAAACCATTTAGCTGGCAGCAGTATATTCCAAACGCAAATGTAGCCAAGAGATTATATATTTTGAGAAAATATGTTACTCCCTCTATCTCAATTTATGTAATATTTTTTTATTTTTCGAGATTCAAACTTCTTAATTTTGACTATATATTTGAATATTTTAAAACTTTTTCAAATAAATTTTTTATATTTGAAAACTATATAAAAAAGTATTATAAGTCATAATATTTAATAATTTAAAATATTCAAAAGACATGAAAAACTTATGACAAAGAATAATTCGTGTGAGAGTGAAATGCATTTTCAAGTATGCATTATTTGACATCAATTGAGAGTTAAGACAAGTGTGAATAAGTAATAACCGAATAAGATCACATGCCTGTTAAAGATTTATGCCTATAATAATTTTGGTAATATGGCAAGCAAGAACAGAAAGATAATTTCATTGAAGATATTTTCTCGAAAAATATTCTACCCCCCGAAAATATAATTTTTGGAAGTATATATAAAAAATCACGTGCGAATCACGTGGAGTTCTGATCCTCATCCCATTTATCTAACGAACGCATATTCGTATCATGTGAAATCTCACGAAAAACAAAACAAACTCCACTGAACCACAGACCTCACTCTCATTCACTCTTTCTCTCTTACACATCGCCGTTATTCACTCTTTCTCTCTCTACTATTTCAATGGCTGGTGTGTTGGAAACCATCGCAGTTCCACGCGCCTCCGCTTTGTCTTCGGCGCGTTTGGCTCCTATTGCAGATTCCAATTCATTCTCCGGTCGTCGTTCCTCCGTTAATTTTTCTCAATTCAGAGGTCTTAAGGTCCAACAGAGTCGGTCTCCAGTTTCACTCAGCTCAACTTCAAATTCTGTTCGCCGTGGTGGACGAATCGTCTGTGAAGCTCAGGAAACTGCTGTTCAAGGTGTTTCTCTCTTTCTTCTCGTCAATTTCACTAATTAATGACGGATAATTGTTTCTAATTGTGATTCTCCAGGCCTAGAACAACTTTTTTGGCAGCTCAATAAAATTGGTGCCCTAAAGCCCAACCTTAATAAGATGCATTAAATATGTTCAATAAAATTTGTACATATTGCTATTGTTTGAACTTTTAGTGGAAGTTTTATTCGGGTCATTTTGCACACATCTCGACCATTCACCTGCTGTTCAAGTAACTATACATACCGAGGCTTGAGTATTGTTTTAAGAAATATTCAAAGTTAAAAATAATGCTACCTGGAATGAAATTTTAGATCTTTTTCTAAGTAATAATTTTATAAATTATGTATAACATATTTTGGGGTCTTCAAATATTGATGCCCAAAGCAAATTGCTTTAGTCGCCTTACCCTATAGCCAGCACGGGTTATACTCTCTCCTTCTTTATGTGGTGGTTTTAGACTAGGCACTAAGTTTAATATGAAAAAAAAAAGACTTTTGAAAGTTGTGGTCTAAAACGATTTGTAGACATTTGAATGACTATAAATCATTTCATTAATGGTAAAATGAAAATTTTAAAGTTAAATTATTTTCAAAGATAAAAAATGTCATTTTGTCTGGGACAAAAGATGAGGGCGTGCCACATAAATTAGGACAAATGAGTATTTTTTCATGTAAAAATATGTTGTACTTTGAGAAATCATTTTCTCCGTGATATTTCAGTTTTTGATTGGGTATAGAACTGGATGAGCTATGATAATTACGATGTAGAAGATAGAGGTATGATGATAGTGATTTGGTGATATTTTTTGCATATTCGATGTTGACAATTGAAGTAAATGATATGGAGCAAGAGTTGGAACATATGTAATGGAAAATGACTCAACTTAGAAAGCAATTTTTACCTTTTGGTGGACAATGTTGAGAATTATTTTTAAAAATAAGATAACCAAAGACGGGAAAAATGATTTTATCAAGAAAAAACACTTTATGAGAAGCTATACTTTGAGGTGGAAGATAACGCATGACGATAGTGATTTGATGATATTTTTTGAGTATTGAATGTTGACAGTTGAAGTGATAATAAAGTTATAATAATATACAACAATAACAACTAGGCCTTAGTCCCAAACAAGTTGAGGTCGGCATCCTCACTGACCACGTGACTCCATTAAAACTCATCTTATGCCAGTATTATGCAAATACAAATAATAAAGTATTAGAAGTTCTGTTGAAGTAAATGATATTATGTGGAAAGGAAAATGACACAACTTAGACGCCATTTTTCCCTTTTGGAGGAAAAATTTCTTTTATAAGACAACCACAGACTAAAGAATGATTCTATCAAAGAAAACGGTTTGTAGGAAGCTATACAAAACACAATCTACATTTAAATATCTGTATAAACCAGTTCCAGACCATTCAAAACTGCATTATTGAAGGGTAAATCTGTCTGTTTAGGAACAGAAGTTGAGGCAAACTAGAAATATTTTTGTTTCCAAAACATTTGTTCAATATTTAAGTGACTTAAGCATCTCGTTCTAACTAAACTGAGAGCTTCCGCTGTATTACTAATCAGATATCGTTGGAATTCTTTACATTTATTTTCTCGAGATAAATTTATTTGGTAATGTGTATCTGAATTAATTTGGCTTTTCTTCTGGTTTACTTGTGCGCTTTCTGGGAGTTGGTTACTTGTTTTTGCTATTTAGTTGAGTCATGACTAGCTTCATACAATAAATGAGCGTGAGCTATTTCTTTTTTGGATATTGAGCTCGTCATTGTCTTGTAATCTCTGATTTGAAGATTGGGCAGATAGCTGTTTCAAACAGTCAAATCTGAATTCAAAAGCCCATTAACTAAGTAAAGTAATAATCTTTGAAAAAGGATAAAAGAGGGAAAACTTAGAAGAAGAAAGATTGGATGTATCTTTCTTTCACAACTTCACCCTACTTATCTGGCTGCCAAGTGTATTCTTTCCAACATCCAGCTCCTTCCCAAACCTTTGGTCATTGAGCCCTTCACCCCACCCCCGGCTTCGAGAACCGTCCTTGCAGCTGCAGCTTTCTTAACTCTGTCTTATTTACATTTCTTTTTGTTGTCTTTCTTTCCCAAGGGGAAATAGGAATGGTACGTTTGGACGCCAACAATTTCATAGCAGCAGCAAAAATAGAAGTACCCAGTCAAGCCTAAGTTGTATGTCAAAGACATCTAAGGGGGGCTCTATGATATTTTGCCTGGAAATTTGCTAACCTTCATTCATTTATACTCATTAGCTTCTGAGGACTCATGATGAGGTATGTTTGGAACAACATAGAAGCTTGTATTGTCTCAAGCTTATGTGTCAACTTTCAAACGCCTATTGAGTAAAAGCATTCATGCAATATGTTATGTGTGCCTTTTCTTTGGCCTTGTGTTCAGACGTCGGAAATGTGTGCTGTTGACTTTGTGGGGGGGCTTTGTTTTTCGGTGAAGTGGGAAGCATTGCTTATGCTTTTGTGCAAATAATACGCGCCATTGCACTAGTATCTAGAATAATCCGTAGTTGAAAAAAATGAGATTGGATGTTGTAAATTTTCTCTTAGGCCTAACTTAATAAGATATTGACATATTCAATGCATCAGCTATCTCCAGTTAAATTTCATATTATTTCTCAGTTTTAGGTTGCTCTAATATTAGCATGATTCATAACATGATTTCTTCCTAAAAGCATTGCTTCTGTCGCACTCCCATCGTTTATCAGTTTTTGTTTTTTTGTCTAACATGGTTCATGGAAAATGCAGTGCCTGCTGTTACCGACAAAACATGGAAATCACTTGTAATTGAGTCCGATTTACCTGTCTTGGTCGAATTTTGGGCTCCCTGGTGTGGTCCATGCCGAATGATTCACCCCGTCATTGGTGAACTATCACAGGAATACGCTGGCAAGTTTAAGTTCTTCCAGCTGAATACAGATGAAAGCCCCTCAACAGCAAGCGAATATGGAATCCGAAGTATTCCGACTGTCATGATTTTCAAGGACGGAGAGAAGAAAGATGCAGTCATTGGCGCAGTTCCCAAAACGACATTGACCACCAGCATAAAGAAGTTCTTGTAAAATGGTGCAATGCAAATATAGATTATGGGAATTTAGCTGTTTCTCTTCTTTATATATTCTCTCTTTGCCTTCAACACAGGTAGAATATTCTGAATAAACCTGAAATGCTTCTGTATAGATTGCGGATATACATTCCTCTCCTCTCACTTTTGCATTACATTAGTAACCGAATGTTACTCGTCAAAAAGAAAATGTTAGTAATTGAATTTCTTTCACGTCTGAAATTCACTTGTATTCTGTGCTACATATTCCTTTAGAAGGATCCTTGTGTTTGTTATTGCAGAACATGGCATCAGGTATGCTTCTAACTAAAAACTTCTACATGTAATTTTTGGGGTCTGTTGTATCTATCAGTGGCCGTGGTTGTTGATATTTCTATTGTTTCTTTTCATCTTTTTTGAGCCGAGGTCTATCCGAAACAACTTCTCTACCTTCCCAGGGTAGGGGTAAGGTCGCGTACATACTACTCTCCCCATACTCCATTTGTCGGATTTCACTGGGTTTGTTATTATTGTTGTTTTATCTAATCATTGCTGAGTTATATGCAAAGGGATGATTAGGATTTAAATTTGATGGGTTTAACCTTGAAGATTTCTAGCTGAACTTATTTTACTTTTGAAATTATGAATTTAAATTTAATATTTGTTTATTTTTAGTAATCATCAAATATATTTAAATTTTTGTCGCAAGTATATTGGTTTTATGCATAGTGCATAAATAGAAACAACAGACTAGAGCACCAAATTCCACTTATGCTATTTTCACCATCTTAATTAACATTACATCTAATTTTCAAACCTATGCTTTTCGAAAA